CCCTGCCACTGCAGCCTCGACCTGCTGAGCTCCGGTGATCCTTCCGCCTCAGCCTTCCAAGTAGTTGGAATTACAGGCGCACACTATCACGCCCAGCTGATTTTTGATTTATTGTAGAGATGAGGTCTCCCCAAGTTGCCCAGGTGGGTCTCGAACCCTGGGGTTCAGGCAATCCACTCACCTCAGCCTCCCAAAGCGCGGGATTACAGGCTGAGTCACTGAGCCCGGCTCATTGCAGAACTTGTTAAAAAAATATTTTGGTCTAAGAAATTCAGTTGTTGCTTTTTTTTTTTTTAATATGCCCAACCACATTGTTTCTCTGAAAAACATAACTGTTTGGGGAAACCTGTTTAAAATGCATATTTTCTTTGCAAAACTAGTTACATGTGGACTGAGGAGGCAAACCAAAAGGATGACTATCTCTTAAATTAGGATAATTTAGTGCTTTGATGTAAGCTTCACGCCTCTCAGGTTTCACATGTAATTGTTTACAGATATCTCAAAGGTATGTTTCCTGACTTGGAAAATTCATAGTATTAGTGGTTTTACTGTTGACCAGTTATCCTGCTTGGAAATTCCTGTTTTAAAATTAAAAGTGTTCATGAAAACTGCCAAACTAGCAACCTTGAAATTGAAGTCTTTTGTTTATCAGCTGACTTTTTATTAGGTCAATCCCCACAGTGAAAAACAAAGGGGGGGGGGGGGTGTTTAGAATTTGGGGAGTGTGAATAAGCAATCTACATATTCCAGGCTAAAAACATTAGAGAAAAGAGGTTCAGTATAAGGAGCTTACTAATCCTTCGAGCTGGACAAGATGAGATGGGTTACTCCGTAAAGACTGAGTCGCCTTTAAAAAAAATGGTCAAGTAAAAGATAGCTACCTTTCAGGCAGGGGAGGCCTTGAGGGCTGTAGTAAAGAGTTGTATCAGTGATTTTTTTTAGAGTTCATTCCAAGTCTAAAGTTTTGAAGTCATTTTTCTAACTTTATTTCCCCTCTTTCTTCTACCCTTGCTCAACTTTTCTCTACCCTAGACTGAGGGGGAAGGCCCTCCCTCCCCTTGCTGATGACATCAGTTCAAAAGTGATGCATGACCCCTTTCTCTGCAAAACCTCTGCCATGGAGGGGACGGGGGCTCCATCCAGCCCTCTCAGGGGTCAGCTTCCAGACCCTCTACAACGGCTTCTGGGTCACTTACACCCAGTCAGCAATGCACCAGAAAGGACAGGGAACAAGGAAGGAGGGGCGGGCACTCTAAGGGGTGTTTCTGTGCACTTCAGAAAAAGAACAGAGTGCGCATCCTGATTTTTTTAATTCAGGACTGCAATCCTTCTAAAATGTGATGGGGATAGGAACATTTTTGTGTTAGCCATTAGAATAGACCTACTCCTTTGGGTGTTAGCACTTAACCTGAGACCAGAATTTAGGTGTCTGTGAACTTGGATGGAAAAAAAAATAACATGTTTATTTTCACCCACTTCTAACCAGAGTTATCATTTCCCTCGATTAGGAATGTAGCCAATAAACCACGATAGCATTTGACAGCACCATGACTTTCTCACTAATAGAAATAGCATCTGTTTTCACACCACGTAACACTTGTGTAACCTCAAAATAACACTTAGGCTCATCATTACTTGAGCCTTCTAGTAGTTATTAGAGCTTCCATCAGGTTGTCATTTGCCAATAAACACATACGTTACTATAGTGGAATTTTATTTGTTAATACTTTGGTAGCTATGTTTCAATGCAATTGGTTTCCATTGCAATCTTATCTATTTTATTTTATTTTATGTGTGTAAAGGTATTATTCTCAGAAGGGCTTGTAGTCTTCATTAGACTTCCAAAGGAGTCTGGCATAACAATAGTTAAGAACTCCTGCCACAAACTTTTTGTCTCTAGGAACCATTTTTAGATTATTTTAATAGACATGTTATTAATATAGCCCACTGAGCCTCTTTCTATATTCAGAAACTGTGCAGTTTTTTACAGAACAGCATGATTTTTTTTTTTTTACTGTGGGAACTGAGATGTTACAGGAGGCTGCATTGTCCTTAGTAAATAAACAATCTGGAGAAACATAATAAGGGAAGAAAAAGCTTTTCTTTCCAAGATGGTGACTAAGTTAGTGAGAAGAATTTAGACATCATTTTCCAACTTCCATTTTTATAGAGCATTAAGTTTTCTCCTTTATGAAGACATAAAACTTAATAATCTTGGTATTTACAAATCCTGCCCACAGGGAGATAATGCTAAATATGCCTTCAGATAAGGTATGCAGCCTCAATAGTTTCCAGGTGGTAAGTATTAAAAGAGGGAGAAAGGGTATAGTTATTGATGGCTCACACTAGCTGGATTTAAGGTCACATAGCAGGAATACCAGGCAAAGGGTTAACCCCCATTAACCAAATCGACATAGATAAGCAATTCATAATCTTTGCTGTTTCCCAACAAGATATTCATGTTAAATACACTTCAGCCACAATAGTCAAGCACAAGCCAGGCACTAGCAAAATCTTGAGGTCAACAAATAAACATACATATTCATCAAGTCTCGACATCATGTTTTATGAGCTTTTGAAGAAAATTATTTTTGGTGATTAGGGTTTTTCCATTGTGTAGTCGAAAACAACTTCAGTTTATGAGAACTGTTTTTGCCAGGATAATTTTTTAATGCTGTTTCTTTCTGTGCTATTATAAAGCCAGGATAATTTCTGGAGTTTCAAATTTCATTGAGTTTTGAGTACCACCACCCGCAAACCCATGACTACCCAGAGAGCATGAATTGATAAACATATCTGCAAACCTAAAGGTTCTGAAGTTACCAGAGACACCGCACAGTTCATTGACATTACTGTGGTCCTTCTTTTCTCTCTCTTTCCTTCATTTTACAGGTCTACCAAAATGTGAAAGACTGGTGGCTCTTTGGGTTCTATTTCTGCATGCCCTTGGTGTGTACCGCCATCTTCTATACCCTCATGACTTGTGAGATGTTGAACAGAAGGAATGGCAGCTTGAGAATTGCCCTCAGTGAACATCTTAAACAGGTGAGTCTCATGACCATGGAAATCTGGCTAGGATGGGACAAATTAGACCTTGACAACAGCAGACCTGCAAATGCTTTAGCAGATTTAGTCTGGTTTCCTAAAAATAAAAATGTTTGTCTTGTAGCTATTTTTTTTATACCTACAGTGTGAGGGATTTCTTTTGTGAACTGGGAGCCTGCCTGTGTAGCAGGTGGTCCCAGAGGCTGGACCCAAACAAGAGGAAGTATGGTTTGATGTTGCCAGAAGCATATTGAACATGTGTCTGTGTGTATGTGTGTGTGTGTGTGTGTGTGTCCATGCATTGATTCAGGCTTGAACTGGTGCCAGGACAAAAAAGAAGCATCTGACTTTCTGCCCTTGCAGACATTACAGTCTTGTTGCAGAAATAAAATACAAACACAAAATAACTGGAACATAAACTCACAATGGTGGTAAAAGTAGCCTGTGCTATAGAAAGCCAGAGAGAACATGAGACAGAGTTGTGAAACTGTTCATGGACAAGAAGGATTGAACGAGGCTTTGAAGGATAAGTGGGGAAGAAAAGGACAGAGGGCATTTCAGGTAGAAGGAGTCTAGTTAGAATGTGGAATGGGCGCCATGCATTTGGGGAGTGGGTAAAAGGAGATGGATGTCATTAGAGCAATGTCTGAGGTAAGACTCATGACAGGAAACATACATTAGAAGAAATCAAATGTTGGAGGACCCAAAATTCTAGATGAAATTTGAATATGTCAATAGGAGGCTAATGTTGGTCTCTCCTGGGCAGAAATTGAACAGGTAAAGCTGTGGGCTTTTGAGGGCAAAACTTGTTGGCTCTGTGACCTTGGACAACTTACTTAATCTCTCTGAACTTCTAGTTTCTCATAAAATATATGTAATCATACGTCATAGGGATTACTTAAGATATGTGGGGGTGCCTAATAGTACCCAGCTCCTAGTAGATACTTAGCAAATAATAATTTATATTATTTCTAAGAGTAAAATTAGAACTACAGGTAAGTTTTCTGTTGCAACAGAGATGTATACAAGGATGTCCAACCACACCAAAACTTAATGTGAGTTGTGGATGGAGTCTGTAAATCTGACCTAATAATTGCCACGTGCAAGCATCATTCGTTATCAGCAACTCTTTTCAACTACTACACTGAGTTTTATGAGCTGCAGCTTTTCATCTGTGATTTGGACATAATAATTATGAATCAATGCTCTTATGAGAATCAAAGGAATTAATGTGCATGCATGTACTTTGTAAAGTCCAACATGCCATACAAATGGTAGCTATTATCTTTTATTGACATTTAGCAGGAAAATTGCATTCAGAAACTTTAGTATGACTTTGTTCAGGCATGAATGTTTCAGATACTTCAGATGTAAACATATTATGAAATTTTCACCTCTCATTCTTGCAACAGAGGTAATTGGTTAGAAGGGATTTGTGAATAGTAGTGTTTTAAAATATAGATTTTTGAATTAGCATCATGATCAAGCCTGTTTAAGATATGACTGGCACCTGCTGTGAAAATAACTAAATAGGGATTAGGAATAATAATATGTAACTTCACATTTTCATGGCATTTTTTAAAGCTTTTAAGTAACATTTTTGTATCTTTTTTATCTGATTCCTCCAAGTACTCTATGAGTTAAGTAGGACAGAGATTATCCTTTTATTCAGGTAGTTAAGAGGTTTGCTCTGGCCAGCGTGGTGGCTCATGCCTGTAATCCCAGCATTTTGGGAGGACAAGGCAGGAGGATCACTTGAGCCCAGGAGTTCAAGACCAGCAGTATAGGCAAAATAGCAAAGACCTCATCTCTGCAAAAAATCCAAAAATTTGCCAGGTGTGGTGGCACATGCCTGTAGTTCCAGGAGGCTGAGGTGGAAGGATTGCCTGAGCCCAAGAAATTGAGGTTACAGTCAGCTGTGATTATGCCATTGCGCTCCAGCATCAGCAACAGAGTGAGATTCCAATTCAAAAAAAAAAAAAAACCAGGTTTGCTCAACCAAGTGGAGATTAGAACCCAAGATTTGGTCCTCATGCAGCAGACATTCCTTTTGGTCACACTCAAAGCTGTAGCAGTTTCTAAGAGCAAAAGAGCAAGCTGACTGGAAGTCCTTCAGGTGGGACCGTGGGAAAGCCACCCTTTGGCAAATGTTCTGTGGGACTCACAGTCTTGCTTCTTGATAGGTTGTCTCTAGTTTCTCCTCATTAGAATGACAACAACTTTTTGTGTTTGGGTGCCTGTAACAGAAAACCCAAAATAACAGTGAACTGACCAAAGAGGAGTTTATTTTTCTCTCACAGCAAAAAGTTCAAATGTCATTGGTTCAGTGGTCAAGGAACTCAGAGGCTGGGTGCCTGCTGTTTTGTTGATCTTTCCTTCAGTTTTGGAAGACAGCAGCAGCAACTCTAAATTTATATCTGATTCCCAAGCAGCCAGAAAAGAAGACTATAAACACCCACTGCTGTGTGCACACCAAAGAAGCATTCTCCCACTTTTAAGCATCTTTTTCAGATACCCACACAATTTCTATTTCATCTTATTGGTCACTGCTGTGTCAAGTGGCCAGGAATCGTCCAGAGTCAGCATGTTCCAGATTTTTCTAATCATCACTGCTGATAATCCTTTGCTCTCATCCCTCTGTTTGCAAACAGCAGATCTTAGGAAGCTATCTATCATTAACAAAAGATTTGTTTTGTTTTGTTTTGATTAGACCAGATTTCCCCCGCTGCCATGACAAAATCAGGAATCTCAAAGATAATATGGAAGAATGTAATGGACACTGGAGACTCAGAAGGGGGAGAGGGGAAGGGGTGGAAAGACAAAATTCACTGTTGAATGCAATGTGCACAGGAAGGAGTGGTGGGTACACCCAAAACCCAGACCAAAAGCAATTCATACCCCTCAAAGCTATTGAAATGAATAAATAAGAATGATATTGGCTAAGCAATATCAGATTGTCATGGCAATGTATTAATAATAGCTTTCAAAAGCATTATCCTCTTTGAGCATGTACACAAAGGAAGTAACCTCTTCCTCAATATCCTTTCCTATGTTTCTGGGCATGTGGTCATTCTGCATATACAAAATGACGCCTTGAAAAGAACCCCCCGCCAGGCACGGTGGCTCAAGCCATAATCCCAGTGCTTTGAGAGGCTGAGGTCAGAGAATTGCTTGAGCCCAGGTGTTCAAGACCAGGCTAAGCAACATAGCTAGACCTTGTCTCTACAAAAAAACAAAAATAAAATTAGTTGATCATGATAGATTGTGCCTGTAGTCTCAGCTATTCAAGTGCTTGAGACAGGTGGATCCATTCAGTCCAAGAGTTCAAGGCTGTGGAACCATGACTGCCATTTAACTGCCACTGCACTACAACCTCGGTAATATTAGACCCCAATTCAAAAAAAAGGAGCCCCCATTCCTGCAGATTAAAATTATTTATTTATTCCCTCAATCACTATTCTGAAGCCATATCCCAGTTAACCCAATAATTGTGAAAGATTAGAGAACTCTCAATTCTTTGGACTAGAATATCTCTTTGTGACAATGGTCCTAGAATCTTTTTGAATGGCTCTGCTAATTATGTGGGGGTGCTGTAGGTTTCCCAGACTTCATGTTGCATGCTTTAGGTTGAACCAGCATTCCCCTCCCAAACTCTGTTTTCAATCAGTTTTATTTTGACATTAACTGATCCAAGTTACAGACAAGTTGCATTTTATGCTCCAAATTAAGCTCCTAAATGCCTGAAGTATAGTGTTCAAGCATAATGCACACAAATGAATGGCTGCAGATAATTCCTGACCTACAGTTTTTCCTGATCCTGAGCAGACTCAAAGGCACGTAAACCATCCATTGAAGTCAGTCCAGGTCAGCATGTTCCAGATTTTCTAATCATCATGGCTGATAATCCTTTTCCCTTGTCCCTCTATTTGCAAATGAGAGATCTTTGGAAACAAGTCATTAATTTTTTTTTTTATTTTTTCTTTTTTGAGACAGGGACTCAACTCTGTCACCCAGGATGGAGCACAGGGGCACAATTCCAGCTCACCACAGCCTCGACTTCCTAGGCTTAGGCAATCCTCTAGCCTCAGCCTCCTGAGTAGCTAGGACCATAGGCACGCACCACCATGTCTGGCTATTTTTTGTAGAAGTGCAGTATACTATGTTACCCAGGATGGTCTCAAACTCTTAGACCCAAGCAATCCTCCTGCCCTGACCTCCCAAAGTGCTGTGATTTCAAGTGTAAGCCATCATGCCCACCCAATAAAATAATAGGCAAAAATTCCCAATGCTAGCTGTCTTCAGGATCAGAAAAGGGAGAAAATATGTTATTGATGCTTTTTCTTTTGTAGTTCCCTACTCCTGTTTTGTTTTCCAATGGTTTTTGTAGAGTTGTGCATTCATTACTATGTTACATTCAATCTCCTTGCCTCCTATGCCATCATTAATGCTAGTTAGCTGTTATTACACTTTTAGCTAACCCTTCCCTCAATACAGTCACACACACACACACACATACATGCAGACCCAGTCATAGTATGGGCTCACCTCCAGCCAATTCCCACCTTCCTTCTGGCATGTAACCTTTGTCCTGGCCCCAAAACCAACCTGAGACCACCGTCCTTCCTGGCAGCTGCACAAAACTGTCATTAGCAACTCCTTGATTAGAAAGTTGAACTTGAACCTGGTGCAATGGCTCAAGCACTTTGGGAGGCCAAGGTGAATGTGTCGCTTGAGTCCAGGAGCTCAAGACCAGCCTGGGCAATATAGCAAGACCTCATCTCTACAAAAAAGAAAAAAAGAAAGAAGGAAGGAAGGAAGACAGTTACACTCAGAATCTTACAGTAGACACTGTAAGGCAGGACATTTTCCCAGCTCTTTGAATTATTCTTTTCCTGATATCTCCCACCTCCTGCTTATGTAGTTCTTTTATCTAGTATAAAGACACTCAACTTACTATACTTTTTTTTCTCCATTTCTTTTAGCGTCGGGAAGTAGCAAAAACAGTTTTCTGCTTGGTTGTAATTTTTGCTCTTTGCTGGTTCCCTCTTCATTTAAGCCGTATTTTGAAAAAAACCGTGTATGATGAAATGGACAAGAACCGATGTGAACTGCTGAGGTATGATCCTATGTACTCATTAGGAAATTGGAGTTCCTCTCATTCTTGCACTTATAATACTTTCACAAAAACCATCTAGTCTACATTCCCATTAGTCCTGAAAATTAAAACTGCAAAGTTGATTATTTTTCTTTAACTGACATAGCCTGTAACCGATTCCAAAATTTGTGCAAGCCTTGTCTATAACCTTGCCCTTCCCCTCCCAAGGCTGTGCATAAGGGTTTGAGATAACCAAGTGGTGATATATCTTTAACTGTCCTGCAAAACCGAAACTGCCATTTAAACAAGCACTTTCTACAAAATTCTAACTGCCACCTATGAGAAATGGCTTCTGGGCAAGAAAAATGCTTATCCTAAGGAATAAATGCTAGTTAGCAGGTTTTAAAACAATATATTCTAATTATTCTACACTATTTTCTTTCTTTCTAGTTTCCTGCTGCTCATGGATTACATCGGTATTAACTTGGCAACGATGAATTCATGCATAAACCCAATAGCTCTGTATTTTGTGAGCAAGAAATTTAAAAATTGTTTCCAGGTAAGACAAATTTTGTCAGCATTTTTAAAAGACAACCAAATGAGTATATTAAGTACCTGACAGACACAGTCAATTCCAGTTGCAATCTTACTTTGATCAACTGTACTCCTTTTCAGTAGAGAAGTGAAAATCAGAGTTTGTTACCCAGAAAGAGGGTCAGATTGTCAGCATAACAGAAAAGCAGTATCCATTCAGACAGTGACATAGGCAGAAGTTAAAATTAAAAGGACAAACTTAATTACATGCCAGTTTCTTACCTCCTTTAGAAAGAAATGCTCAAATGTGAGCTGCTGGGCCACACAGAGTACATAAAACCTGTTCACACCTTACAGTAACTTCGACATTAACTGTAGTTACAACAAAACAAATTCTGTTGTTACAAAAGCTCTCACTAGATTTTTTTTTTTTTTTTTTGAGTCAAGATCTCACCCTGTTGCCCAGGCTGGAGTGCAGTGCTACAATCATGGCTCGATCTCCTGGGCTCAGGTGATCCTTCTGCCTCAGCCTCCCAAGGAGCTGGGACTACAGACTCATGCTACCACGCCCGGCAATTTTTTTTTTTTTTTGGTAGAGAAGATGTCTCACTATGCTTTCAAATTCCTGGTCTCAAGTGATCCTCCTGCCTCAGCCTCTTGAAGTGCTAGGATTGCAAGCATGAGCCACTGTGCCCGGCCACTAAATACAATTTAATAGTATATTTAGTAATAGCCTCTTCAAGAAAAGTAGGTGCTTATGGCTCTGGAAATCTGAATGAATATAGTTTCACTCAAAATTGGTATCCTTCTGCTTTCAACCCTCCTGTCAGCAAAGTTCCCTCCGTCTCTGGAAGCAGTAAGCATGTCTTATTGATGCGTCATCTTTCCAGTTCCTGGAATGATTTTAGCATCAACTTACTCCTAACTGGATTTTGTTATCTGGCCAGGCTGTTTAACTTCAGTTCATGGCACATATGAGGCAGATTGGAGCAGAGGTCAAGAATGCAGCTCTGGAAGCAAACAACCTCGGCTGACATCACAGCCCTGCACTTGCTAACAGTCTAAGCCAGGCCTGGCTAGGGCTCCTTCTGCTTCTCGGGTTCTTCATCTGTAAAACTGGATGATCACAGCATCTCTTCCATAAGGAAGGTTCATTCGTCTACGACCATACTGCCCCAAACGTGCCCAATCTCTTCTTCATAAGGAGGATTCAACAGATTAACATGCATAAAACACTTGAAACAATAAATGCTCAAAACAAGTGGATTATTATTAGAGATAGAGTCAGTCAAGAGGAAAAACCCAGTAATAGCCCTCAAGGAACTTACACTCTAAAAGGAGACAGATGTACATTAAGTAAAGAATCACATGAATGGACGTTTTTGCTGCCATATTTTTGAGGTCTCCTTGGAAATCTTTGCCAGTCACAAAATACTCTGCCTAAAATGCACTTACTAATATGCAGGTTATAACGAATACATTACATAAGCAGGAGTTAATATTGCTTGCGAATTAATTTACATATTCATTGGGGAGGAAAAAATCGAGGTAAAAATTATCAGAAATTATGCAATTTTTTTTTAATGAATCTTCGTAAAAAGGCAGCAAACCCAAGGGAAAGAGCCCATTCTAGAGAGCTCTGGATTATAATTTCAGCTCTACTTCTTATTTTCTCTGGGTCTCACTGTCTTCGTTCATAGAATGGGGAAATGGCACCTGTATCTAGGGTTGTTGTAAGGACCCAAGGAGGTACCTAGTGCAGAGAGCCACACAGGTGGCACACATCAAAGACACAATAGGCCCCTCCCGGCCATCCTGGCCATCCCCACTCACTTCTACCTTAAGCCGAGGAGAACCCTCCCTCCAGCCAACAATGTCATCCCTTCCTATTGCCCTTGGTGAACAGAATTAAGACAGGAGACAAGAGATCTATTTCTCTGCCCTGGAATGAACAGTTTAACTCCTGCCTAGAGACGGCCAGTTCCCCACTCTAGATTATTATGAAGGCTCGTTTTCTTCAAATGTATATGGACACTTAGCCCCCATCGGTGGGGCCCAAGACCTCTCTATTCAGCTGGAAATGGGTTGGTAGCCTCACCTTATGTCGAGTCTGTTCTTTCTCCCAGTCATGCCTCTGCTGCTGCTGTTACCAGTCCAAAAGTCTGATGACCTCGGTCCCCATGAATGGAACAAGCATCCAGTGGAAGAACCATGACCAAAACAACCACAACACAGAGAGGAGCAGCCATAAGGACAGTATTAACTGATCATTCCAAGAAACATTGATCAATATTCTTTTAAATCCAGTGGGAGAAAAAAACCACACAGCAACTGTGTCTCCAGAAATCCCTTCTCTAGTCCTGCCTTAACTCAGTCCCACCCCCAGAGAAGAAATGCTTCCCAAAATGGCAGAGGGTGGACAGGTTTATTCCCACAAAGTCTATGAATCTTACTTCTTTAATTTATCTAACTGACATATTCTGCGTGTCCTATTCAGCACTAAAAAATGGTGGGAGCTGGGGGAAAATGGAGATGGTTGAGTGAAACTAGAGGATTTTTACTCTTTTTTGCGTGAAAATAGTTTTCAAGTACACGACCGGCTTTTATGGGAGTTATGTTGAAGGTTCAATGAGAACCGGTCACCATGAAATTTTAGAGATGATGACAAGATTTTCTGCTTAAGTGATTTTTTTTTTTTTTTTGACCAAACACAAGTCACTTATATCTGAAGTGTCATTCAATGCTAGTATTTTTTTAACTGCATAATAGCCTAAAAATGATTATTTGAGCTTATTTACATATATGTTGCAAAAAGAAAAAAGTATTCAGATGAGCAATGAGATTAATTTTTCTCATGTCACTGTTTTATTTTTGAAACATGAATTCTAAAATTGCAACAATTACAGATCCTGAAAGCACACACTGATAGCCACATTTGGTAGTTGAATATCTGCTATTCAAAGAATTTTAAAGAACCTATATATTCTCTCTTTTTTTTTTTTTTTTTTTTTTGAGTCAGAATCTCACTCTGTCACCCAGGCTGGAGCACAGTAGCATGATCATGGCTACTGCAGCCTCAACCTGCTAGGTTCAGGCGATCTTTTCCCTTAGCCTTCCAAGTAGCTGAGACTACAGGTGCACGCCACCACACTTGACTAATTTTTATTTGTAGAGACAAGGTCTCACTATGTTGCCCAGGCTGGTCTTGAACTCCTGGGCTCAAGCAATCATCCCACCTTGGCCTGTAGAGGCATGAACCACTGCACCCAGCTTGTATTTTTTTTTTAATGGTGTTTTGTTACAGAAGATCTTGAACATATTTTTTAATGTTAAGTTCAAAAATAATGCTTGGATCAAATAGTTCTTTTTCACAAGTCCAATCTTTTTTTAATATAAGTTTTTAATGTAAAATCGATATCACGTACCAAAATTTAAATGTATGTGTCATTTAACGGTGCCTGAACTTTCAGTGCAATGTATAGAAGTCTAAAGCATACCCAGGAGAAAAAGAGTGTATTTTTTAGAAAATTTGGAAATTTTCATTGAGTTTTTTTGTAATAGTAGCATGTATATGTACGTAGATATATATCATACAAATTGCCTCCTCTTTTCTTAATTTTTCTTAAAATGTTAACTGGCACCAAGACTTTTTTGGCCACTACCCTTTCTATACAGGAAACATAATTTCAAAGTATCCAGATGTGTTTATCATGTCAGTGAAATACAGTTGCCCCCAAATGCCACCATGAACTTGTGATCCTTTCCTTCTCTGAGTTTTCAGTGTGACCTTCCCGTGGTCACCCCCTCTCATCCCTCCCATGGTCACCATTTCAGAGGGCCCACAGTGAGTTTTGCTGGGCATTTTCCCAGATGTTTACAGACTGTGAGTACAGCAGAAAATCTTTTACTAGTGTGTGTGTATATATAAACAATTGTACATTTCGTCTAGCCAATTTTCCTATGATTGTCTCTATGGAATACTTGTGTGTGTGTGTGTGTGTGTGTGTGTGTGTGAGAGAGAGAGAGAGAGAGAGAGAGAGAGAGAGAGGTACAGGTGTGTAATGGTGCATGTGGATTTAATCTAATCGAATAGCAATGCCAAAGTGCATACTCTGAGCGGAATCTAAGTGACTGTTCTTCATGACAACCCACCTCCATCAGGTTTAGCCTATAAGAACCTCCCACATTCATAAATCTTGTGCCCATGTTGGCATTACAAATGGGACATGGGAGGGCATTTTCCAGCATGAAAGGGGATGAGTTATACATGAACGATAGAGGGTTTGGTTTGGTTTAGTTGGTTTGATAAAGTGGCATTTGGGGGTCGTATTGTTTCCTGTGCTGGAGCAAATGTCATTACACTTTGATATATCGTCCTAACCCTCAGCTCAATGTGTCAACGAAATTGACAAGTTGTCTGATGTTTCTATCAGACTTCCCCAGACAGATTGCTGATGATAAATTAGCTAGGCTAATTTGTTGGGCTCTATTTTAGCACAGTCACAGGTCAAATCATATCGGGTTCCAACTGCTTGAATTACAGGGCTAATATTGCTCATTTGTGTGTAAGCAGTCAAGTTCTATTACTCCACGGGTGCATCATATGCAGTGATATATGCCTATAATATAAGCCATAGGTTCACACCATTTTGTTTAGACAGTTGTCTTTTTTGCAAGATGTTTTGTTTCTTTCATATGAAAAAATGCATTTTATAAATCCAGCAAGTCATAAATGTCTGAAGGCTTCAATGTGCATTGTGTTTATGGACTGGTTAGTAACTGTGGTTTACTAGTAGGAATAACTCCAAGTTCTACCTTTGCCACATCTTTCTAATGAGTAACTTTGTAGAAATGAGGCAAAAGCCAAGGCCTTGAGTTGACAGTGGCCTTGCAAGTATAAAATAAAAGTTTACAGAAGCCTTGCAAGTGTCTATTCATTTTTACACATTTCTTCATAGAAAATGTTTGTTACATAATGTCTGCTGAAGACCTCTCCTTGTAATATCCAGGCAAGCAATACATATATTTTAATATATATTTGTATTTTTTTTAAGTCAGGGGTTCACTCCATCGCCCAGGCTGAAGTGCAATACCACGATCACGGCTCACCGCACCCTTGACTTCCTGAACTCAGGCAATCCTTCCACCTCAGCCCCTTGAGTAGCTGGGGCTACCGGTGTGTGCCACATGTCTGGCTAATTTTGTTTTGTTTTTTGTTTTGTTTTTTTTTGAGTTGGAGTCTCACTGTGTCACCCAGACTGGAGTGCAGTGGCTACTCCCGGCCACCACAGCCACGACCTGCTGGGCTCCGGCGATCCTTCTGCCTCAGCCTTCCAAGTAGCTGGAACTACAGGCACGCCCTACCACGCCCGACAAATTTTTTTATTTATTGTAGAGATGAGATCTCGCTAAGTTGCCCAGGTAGGCCTCAAACTTGCGGGCTCAGGCAATCCACTCACCTCAACCTCCCAAAGCACGGGATTACAGGCTGAGCCACCGAGCCCGGCTAATTTTTTTATTTTTGTAAAAGCTAGGTCTTGCTATGTTTCCTAGGCTGGTCTCAACCTCCTGGACTCAAGCAATCCTCCTGCCTCAGGCTCCCAAAGCTGGGATTACAGATGTGAGCAACCATGCCAGGACCCAGGCAAGCAATTCTATTTTTTATCAGGGACTTTCTACTACACTGTATTCCCAACCAACTTACTTTCTTGTGCTGAACACTTAACTCTCTCATTCATTCCTTCATTCACTTTTCCAGTGAATTTGGCTGAATCTCTGCTGTGCACCAAGCATTGTTCTTCTAGATGTTGGGGATATGGCAATGAACAAAACAGGCCAAGTCCCTGATCTCATGGGGCATGCCTTCTAGAGGAAGGAGTTGGGCGATAAACAAACGGTTACTTGCCAGATGGATACCTGGTGGAAGAGATTATGCATATATATCCAACTGCTTATTTGACATCTCCAACTGAATGACCAAAAGATCCTAATATATCAAAACCAAGCTCCAGCCTGTGCCTCCATAATATGCCTCTGCTCAGTTCAAGACTGCTCCATCCTTTGAGTTGTTCGGGACAAAAACATTGAAATCATTTCTTATTCCATTTTCTCCCATCTTCCACTCAACATCTCAATAAGTCCTCAGAGCCCTGTCTTCAGAATGTATCCAGAGCCTGACCACTACCCTATCTCTACTTCTGCCTCCCTGGTCTGAGAACCATCTTCTCTCACTAGGATAACTGCGGTAGGCTCCTATCAGGCCTGCTTCTTTCCAGTTGTGTGAACAGCCATACTCTAATTTGAGCCTGTCACTCCTCTTCCATAAGTGGTAGGTTAGGCTAGAGACACCAGCATCTTCTGGGGATTTTTCTAGTAAGAACTCATTAAGAAAGAGCCCACTGGGGCAGGGCTGGGAGGTTGTGAGCCTGGGAGTGGTTGGCCACCATGGTTTCAGCATTATGAAGAAAGTTCATCTACAGTGTCACAAAGATAAAAAGAGCATTTAAGTTCCCCGTCCTAAGTTTCCATGGTGCTTTCCTATGGCTTTAGTCAGAAACCTACACATTTACCTTTTTGCCTATACTAGTTAAATTTGGCTTTCTGTTGCTTACAATACACACATCCTAAGACCATCTCATCTTAGTCATCTTGATTCATCTTTTGTCATTGTTGTTTAATAGACTATGTTTTTTAGAGCAGTTTTATGTTTACAGAAAAATTGATCCAAAATTACAGAGTTCCCGCATGCCTTCTTATCTCCCCTCCCCACACAATCTCCCCTGTTATTTACACCTTGTATTAGTGTAGTACATTTGTTACAGTGACTGAACCAATATTGATGTCATATCCTTTTAAATATTTTGTATCTCAATGGCTTTGGGTGTACAAATGATTTTTGGCTATATGGATGTATTGCAAAGAAGTCTGGGCTTTAAGTGTACCCATCACCCCCACTGGTGCACATTGTACCTCATCCTCCTCATCCTCTTTCTTCCCTCCACCTTCTGAGTTGTCCATGTTCATTATACCATTCCATATGATGCAATATTATTAACTAAAATCCATATTTTGCATTAGAGTTTACTCCTTGTGCTCAACATATCCACCTGACAGTATCAGAGTTAGGATTAGAGTTATGGTTAGGGTTAGGGTTAGGGTTAGGTTAGGGGTAGAGATAGGAGCAGGGGTAGGATCCAGGGTAGGGGTAGGGTTAGGTGTTAGGGGTAAGGTTAGGGTTAGGTTTTACTTTCCTTAAAATCCCCTGTGTGCCGGGCTCGGTGGCTCAGCCTGTAATCCCGTGCTTTTGGGAGGCTGAGATGAGTGGATTGCCTGAGCTCGCGGGTTCGAGATCTGCCTGGGCAACTCGGCGAGACTTCATCTCTACAATAATTCAAAAATTAGCCGGGCATGGTAGTGCCCACCTATAGTTCCAGCTAATTGGAAGGCTAAGGCAGAAGGATCGCCGGAGCCCAGCAGGTCGAGGCTGCGGTGGCCGGGAGCAGCCACTGCACTCCAGTCTGGGCGACAGAGTGAGACTCCAACACAAAAACAAACAAAAAGCAAAAAAAATCCCCTGTGTGTCATCATTTCAAGCCCCTCGCCTTCCCTCTCTTGATTAATCCTTTTACTCAACACAGTTAGTGAACACTGACCGTGTCATGTTGTGCTTATTGCTGGGAGCATGAGATCAAGTATATAAACAAACAAATGCTGGAAAGTGCTCAGTGGTGACTCGGAAGGTGTCAGCATAGGAGATGGTAAAGGTACAGATGAAAGAGCAGTCAGAATTCCTCCCAACTCTGGCTGTTGGATGTCTGTGAACAAAATATGCTGTGCCCTTTCTTCCACAGCGCTTATTTTAGTTAGCACAAACATTGTATCACATCAGGCACAGTGGCTCATGCTTGTAATCCC